AAAAAAAGGGGAGGGGGGGGGGGGGGGTGAAAGGGTGACCTATCCTGGGCGCCATCTTCAGGAGCGCCAAAATTTGTCATTTTTTAATGCAAAATATACTATGACAAAAGTGGAGGCTTTTTTATGTAGAATGGCGACTAAAAACCGACTTTGACTCGTGTTAAGATTTTGCTTGCCATGGTCCTTGGTTAGAGACGAAGTGTGCAAGTGTTGGAATAGTATTGCTCCACTTGCATTGAACCTACTCTTTAATTTCCAAGAAGTTTTAGTCAAAGCATACTTTCTTCACCGCGTAAATAAGGACTCACGGGAGGATGTCCAGAGATCCTAGCACGAATTTCTTCGGAAACTGAATTTGCCCCCCTCCCCCCAAACAAATAGACCAACAGTTTTCCAACAATTCTGTATTATATATAGTCCACCCCCCCCCCAAACCGCTGCCTTTTCTTTCCACTAACAGACTACTTGTTATAAAAAATATTTTTCTTTTTTTTTTTTTGTTTCTGCTTTGAAGGACATCTATCAACAATGGGGGCGGAGTTTGCAGTGGCCATTCCGAAGATGATGTTGACAAATGACGTGGATAATTCTTCAATTCATTTCATGCTAACGACTTTGTCTGACAAAAATGTGGAGGTAAGGCCGATGGGGTAGTTAAGGATTGTGTAATGTAGAAATGAACAGAAGGCCGATGGGGTAGTTAAGGATTATGTAGTGTAGAAATGAACAGAAGGCCGATGGGGTAGTTAAGGATTTTGTAGTGTAGAAATGAACAGAAGGCCGATGGGGTAGTTAAGGATTGTGTAGTGTAGAAATGAACAGAAGGCCGATGGGGTAGTTAAGGATTGTGTAATGTAGAAATGAACAGAAGGCCGATGGGGTAGTTAAGGATTGTGTAATGTAGAAATGAACAGACACTTTCCTCCAACATGTGTGTGTGAAGGGGGGCAATTCAGGTGGGCAGTTTCATTGACCAGATGCGTAACTAGAGGTGCAGAGGAGGAAATATTCCCCGGGGAAGACAAATGGGGGCGCCAAATGGTCTTTGTTGGTATTTAATGCATGAAAATAATGGCTTTCAGAGTCAGCGGGGTGGGGCTTAAAAATGAATTATGTCCTGTGGGACCAAACACTCTAGCAACTCGTCTGCCAGTGACGTAGAAAGGAGGGTAGATGGGGAGGTCAGCCCAGGTGTCACTTTTTCTCTCTGTGGAGTATTCAAGAGCGCCGATGGCTCTTAAGCGCGATTCCTCTTAAGCGGAAGGGAGGTCCGAAGAGCTCCTTCCCAGAAAAATTTCGCTAATGTCAAAATCAAGAGGTGCATTTTGAAATGTACCTGAATTTTGTGTTTCTGTTGATGGGTGAAAAATTTTTTCAAGCGTCCGAGGGAGGCATTATGGCGCCCAGTGCCATATATAACCTAAATTCCTTCCGGTTGTGGCACGCCCCAGGGTAATCATTTGGCACAAGATCAGTATCAACCCCATACTCTATATTAATGGGCATGAGGGAATGGGGAGCAGAAGTTAAGGGTGCCGAAGATTCTCGAGCAAAAACAGGGGCCTTGGGTTTCCTTAAAAATGTTTTGATAACTTCAAAATTCATGGATGAAATTTGGAGCATTCTTGAATTCAGTGTATTTCTTTCAGACAATTTTGGAGGGGAAAAATTAAGACTTTCTGGTGAGAAGCGCCATAATTAGCCATAATAACGACCAGGGACATCTCTAACTCCGCCCCAATCCAGCATGACCTAAATTCATCCCAGTTGTGGCGCCCTTGAGGGTATGCTTTTTGGCATTGATTGGTCGAGCCCTTTAAATCTTTGTAGTCGAGCAGAAAATATTTGCTAAAGACAAAATGCAATAATGCAATCTTGGCACATCCACGAATTTAGTTTTCAACATTCTACACATTATTGGAGAGACATTTTGGCAGTGTACCTAAAATTGTGGAGGTTTAGAATATTTCTCAGCTCTCAGTAAATTTAGTTTTCCAGAGTTGACTTCTACCTCCCACCTTTTTTAAAACAAATTTTGAAGTCAACACCCCCCCCCCACCCCTTCCAACCAGACCTTGGTCTTGTTAAATCCTTTGTGTGGGTCAGGCCAATGATGGTATTGGTGTTTAATTTAGGGCCCTCACTATGAATATTATAAATACCAACATTGACAGTTGTACTTTTTGTTTTTCAACAAATGGATACAGATTATATAGATTTAATGCAACGTATTTTCAGGTCAAAGTTAGTACTCCTCATTACCCTGGCAACGAATCTAATGGAGGCAGTCTGAATGAAACGATAATCATTCAAGGAAAGTCTGGTGTAGCCTATGACCTGGACGACAGATTTAAGTGAGTAGCCGGTGACCTAAGGCTCTGACCTGGATGAATGATTTGAGTGAGTACCCGGTGACCTAAGGCTCTGACCTGGATGAATGATTTGAGTGAGTACCCGGTGACCTAAGGCTCTGACCTGGATGAATGACTTGAGTGAGTACCCGGTGACCTAATGCTCTGACCTGGATGAATGATTTGAGTGAGTACCCGGTGACC